TCAAGCAATCCTCCTGCCTCAGCCTCCCCAGTAACTGGGACTAAAAGTGCCAACCATAATGCCCAACTATCATCTATTTTTTCTCTTTTAGTATAGACAGGGTCTCACTCTTGCTCAGGTTGGTCTCAAACTCCTGAGCATTTCATTTGCCTCAGCCTACCAGATGCTAGGATTACAGAATTGAGCCAGCACACCCAGCCTGGGATTAGTGCCCTTAAAAGGGGGCTTTTCTAATTTCTGGCATTATTAAGTACACGAAAAGAACAGTTGTACAATCCTGCTCAGGCCACTTCCATGACCAAAGCAGAACATGGCAGCTAAGCCTGTCCCCAAGGCAGAGCACCAGAAACTGAACAATGCAAGGAAGGCTACTTGTAGGTCAATAAGTTCTGCCCATGTGGAGCTTTAACATTTTAAACATGATACTTATAAACATGAAGCAAACTAAGGATCAGCAACCATTTAAAATATACCTCAGAGACAAAAAGATGTATGTGCCAAGAATAGGGAGAACAAACTGCTAATGGAGAAGACAAAAAATTTCAAAAACCTACTAATAATCTCTACTGATAATGCTTAAGAAAGCAATCTTAGAAATTTGGAATATAGCTAAAATCGTTAAAGGAATTAATTAGAAGCACTGCAAGAGAAAATATAAGGAAATTATCCAGAAAGTAGACATCATGAGCAAACTGCTAAAAACAATGAAAAAAACGTCAAAAGCAGTATGAGAAAAAATTCTCAAACTTTCAAAGGTATGTGACTGCTCAACAGAAATGAAGCTAGAAAAGGGAGTAATCAAAAGAAAACTGCAAACTTAAAATCACTAAACATCTTAATGTTTACTTAATATATTAAAAGTATTGGCCTGGCGCCTGTAGCTCAGTAGCTAGGGCGCTGGCCACATAGACTGGGGCTGGTGGGTTTAAACAGGGCCCGGGGCCTCCCAAACAACAACTGCAACAACAAAAAAATAGCCAGGTGTTGTAGTAGGCATCTGTAGTCCCAGCTACTTGGGAGGCTGAGGCAAGAGAATCACTTAAGCCCAGGAGTTTGAGGTTGCTATGAGCTGTGATGCGACAGCCCTCTACCAAGGACAACATTCTGAGACTGTCTCAAAGGAAAAAAAAAGTATTTCACCATGTTATCAGTATAAAGTATTAAGGTATTTTGTAGTCTTTTTTTTCATACCAAGTCTTTGGAGTTACGTGTGTGAGTTATGTGTGTGACCCAGCTTCTCCCCATCCAGATTAGCCATGTTTCAAGTACGCAGAAACTATTTGTGCTCGTAGTTCACATATTGGGAAGCAACTATTTACTCAGGAAAAAAAAAACATAAAAGAATAAAGATAAAATAACATTTTTGGATTTTTCAGATTAACAAAAACTAGTATTCCCACTAGGAACTCACTAAAAATGTTGTTAGGCAGAAAGAACATTTTTACAGATGAAAATGAAGAGAGGATAAAGACTAAAAGAAAGTATGTAGGTAAAAGTACAATAATATTGACCATAGAAAACAGTAATTTCCAGGTGGTGCCCGTGGCTCAGTGATAGGGCGCCAGCCCCATATACTGACGGTGGCGGGTTTGAATCTGGCCCTGGCCAAACTGCAACAAAAAAATAGCCAGGCATTGTGGCAGGCACCTGTAGCCCCAGCTACTCGGGAGGCTGAGGTAAGAGAATCACCTAAGCCCAAGAGCTGGAGGTTGCTGTGAGCTGTGACATCATAGCACTCTACTGAGGGTAAAAAAGTGAGACTGTCTCAAAAACAAAAAGAAAATAATTTCCTTGGTCAGACAGTGGCTCATGCCTGTAATCTAATCCCAGCACTCTAGCAAGCCAAGACAGGTGGATCGCTTGAGCCTAGGAGTTCAAGACCAACCTAGGCAATGTAGTGAGACACCATCTCAGCAAAAACTTTAAAAATTAGCCATTTGCGGTGGTGTAAGTCTGTAGTTTCAGCTACTTGGGAGGCTGAGGTAGGAGGATCCCTTCAACCCAAGAGTTCAAGGCTGCAGCTACCATGAGCTGAGTGTGCCGCTGCACTTCAGCCTGGGCAACAGAGCCAGACCCTGTCTCTAAAAGAAAATAAAAGATCAAGTTCAGTGGCTCATGCTGGTAATCTCACCTCCTTTGGGAGGCTGAGGCAAGAGGACTGCTTGAGCCCAGGAGTTCAAAAGCAGCCTGAACAACATAAGGAGACCTTGTCTTTTCAAAAAACAAATAATTAGCTCCATGTAGTAACATGCACCTGTCATCCTGGCTACTTCACAGGTTGAGGAAGGAGGACTGCTTGACCTCAGAAGTAAATAATAATTTCCTGAGGTTTATAATTTATGCAAAATTAAAATGGATGGCAATTCTAATGAAAAAGACAGGAAGTAGGCAAATGGGAGTTAAATTTTTAGGTTTTTACATTCTCAGGGAAGCAATAAAAGTAACTGTTACTAGACAGTTAAGTCAAGGATGCACATTATAAATTCAAGAGTAAGTGCTAAAAGATTAACAACAAAAAAAAATCCTAAATACATTTCTAATATGAGAAGAACAAAAGCGAAAATGAAGAATTTTGTATGATCTTGCAAGATAGAAAAACCCCCCCACAAAACGGGTGTGTGTCAAAGAGACAATAGAGATGAATCTAAATATATTAGATAATTATACAAAACTATAAATGAGTAACATGCCAAATTAAAAAGGAAAAAAGGTAAGACTGTCCAACGGGATTTTGGTATGAAAACAAATGCTACTTACAATAGACATAACCTAAGGACCCAGAAAATTTGAAAGAAAAAGCATAGCAAATATATGCAAGAGAAACATTACCCCACAGAAAGAAGACTTGTAGGCAAGAGTTATATGAGCTTCTGCTACAAGAAGGGGGGTTGGCTGCTGGTGGTGCTGAGTGCCAATTGGACAGAAGCTGGAGCAGCGTTCACCACTTACCTCCTAGTCCTAGTAGTCTCTGAAGCCTTCAGGATGTCAAGCAGCGTCAAAGCAACCCTCTCTGCACAGATCACACCTCCAGACTGTTGATGGAGTGGTGGAATTGGTGTTTGGCAGAATGAAAGGCGGAGAACCCAGATGCTGCTTCTCAAGGGAGTTCACTCAATCTTTGTTATTTTGTTGTTCCCTTGACCCTTCAGTTCAAGCTTTATCTGGTACTACCAATTCTTGAAGTTTGGGCTACTCTACAAAATGAACTGGGGCCAGGTACAGTGGCTCACACCTGTAATCACAGCAATTTGAGAGGCCAAGATGGGAGGATCCCTCCCGAGGCCAGGAGTTCAATTCCAGCTGGGGTAACATAGCAAGCCCATCTCTGCAAAAAATTTTGAAAACTTTTGAGGCCAGGTGAGGTGGCTCACACTTGTAATCCTAGCACTAGCACCCTGGGAGGATGAGGCATGTGGTTTACTTGAGCTAAGGTGTTCAAGACCAGCAAGAGCAAGACCTCATCACTACCGAAAACAGAAAAACTAGGCTTGGCACCTGTAGCACAGTGATTATGGCGCCAGCCCACATACACCAAGGATGGCAGGTTCGAACCCGGCCCAGGCCAGCTAAACAACTGCCAACAACAAAAATAGCCAGGTGTGGCTCAGCACTTGCAAGCGGCTAAGGCGCCAGCCACATACCCTGAGCTGGCGGGTTCGAATCCAGCCTGGGCCACCAAACAACAATGACGGCTTCAGCCAAAAGATAGCCAGGTGTTGTGGCGGGCGCCTGTAGTCCCAGCTACTTGGGAGGCAGAGGCAGGAGACTTGCTTGAGCCCAGGAGTTGGAGGTTGCTGTGAGCTGTGATGCCACTCTACCTAGGGAGACAGCTTGAGGCTCTGTCTAAAAAAACAAACAAACAAACAAAAAACTGGGGTGGGTTTTTTGGGAGGGCGAAAAATTAGATGTGTATTCAAATTACCAATTTGTCTAAGACAAAGCAGTCATGTTTTTCCTACATTATAGGTTAATGCAGTTCTAAATAATACACAAAATTGCAAAATAAGCAAGTGTGAAAATGAAAATATAAGTAATGCTGACATGTACTCCTCTCCACAGAGTTACTGTGACAGTGTGCCACAATATGATGCAATGGGAAGTACATGGTGTCATCTAGAGATTATTCTACACATAACCAAGCAATCAGACTATCAGGAAAATGCAAATCAAACCACCACTGGCTACCAGCACACCTACAGTTAGAAGGGGTAGTATCAGAAAGTCAAAAAAGTAACAAATGCTGGTGAAGATAATGGAGAAAGGGGAACCCTTACACTCTGGGGTAGGAATATATATTCGTACAACCAGTATGTAAAACAGTGTGGGGTTCCTTCAAAAAATTAAAAATAGAGCCTGGACTTGGGGTCTCTTTTGCTAGAGAACTCCTCGGACCTTGGCAACTCCACATCCCTTCCTCAGGGAAACACTCCGAGACAGGCTCAACTTCCTTTGGCTCTCCTGATTCCTACTGCCAGTTTTTATTTCCTACCAACCCAGGGGACAGTCTCCCTCAGTAATAAACATGCTCCAGGAGGGTAGCAATGCAGCTAAGTGTCTAGACAGCCACTAGAGCCAAGTGTACCGCCAGGAGCCTGGGGAGCAAACCATCTCCATCAGAAGGTAGGTCCTGATCTCCAGGCACCCAGCATGCTGGCTGTTACAATAGTCCATGGGACTGCAGGCTGGGCATGGGGAGGGCACAAGTAGGGCAGATGCACTGCACAGCAGGGTTTTCTGCTCAGTACCGCCCCCCAGTGTGGCTTCCAAACCACACAGACAGCCCCTCTGTTCCCTCAGAGAGTGTCTAGGGCCTGCTGTTGCCCTGCTCTAAGAACAGCATCTCCCACGCTGGCTTCTGGATATGTGGCTGTCCCAAATACACTGATGCACGTCACACCAAGAGCGAGGCAGATGAGACCCACATACCTCAGCAATAGGGAAGCTGATGGGAGAAAATTTTTCTGATTCCAAAGAGCAAATGAATGCATGAAAAGGAGATTTTGTTCAAATTAATGGTTTTATTTCCATTTTTAACACTAGCAAGTGAGTCCAAAACAGACTGGTGTCCATGAACATATTTTAAATGTAACAAAGAGCTGAACTATGTACACTGAGGACAGGAAAGGGATTATTTTCATACCAACCTTTTCCTAGTTTACAGTTTCTGAATAGCAGAAACTAATCCCATGTCTTACCAATTTAATTTAGAATGAAGTAATACAAGTTGTATGATCAACTACTTAAGTTGCCTTTGAGAATAAAATTTAAAGAAACTTGGGAATGGGTGTTACTATGTGTTTTAGTGGACTGCATGGTCACCTTGGTGCCTGAAACCTGGGAGTCATTGGAATGGAACAAGAGCATTTCCATAAAGCCCAGAAAGAACTTAATGGTAATGAAGTCCATGCAGAGGGCAGACACATCATATCCCCCAATGACAAGCGCTGACGCCCCTGCCCTCTTCAACTCCAAGTAGAAAACTATTATGTTCATTCATACTAACTGGAAATGAGCCAAACAGTTAAGTTAAAAAGTCAGAAAGAATAAAACTATTTTCTTTTCACATAGAGGAGGGACACTCCTTCAGCCCCATTTAAAGTGAATTCTGTGCTGAGTCCCTGCTCCTTCAGAAGAGTAAACTGAAGGTCAGTTATTGCTAGCAAAGCCAGAAGTGGCCCCTTTCCCACTCTGAAGATGTTTTGAACGAAAAGGCTGTTGGTTTGGCATGAAGCCCTCTGAGAAAGTGTGGAGGTGGAGGCAGTCTAGTGCCACAGGCCTCTCTCCTGTCAGCCACCCCCATGCCCTGTGCTATCAGGGGCAGCTCAGGCCACTTTGCTGCTCTCAGAGAACTTGTGGCTCCAACACACTTGTGCAGTGGAGCAGAGGTTACTACCTGGGCCCTTGGGAAGGATAAGTCAGCGTGTTTTCCCAGCAAAAACCTATGGAGTAGCCAAAAGCCCAGCTGGGCAGAAGAGCAGCTTCTGAAACAAATGCTGGAGGCGGGGGAATGGGATGTAGATGAAAAAGCCACGTCAGTACCAAGTCAGGCGGGCCAAGTTTTTTAAACACAGAGCAACAGTGACTTGGGCAAAAGCATGGAAGTGAGTGGCTGATAAGGCCACAACAACTGCCACTGCCTCCCATCTACACGCTGGGCCAGCATCAGGCAGGGGAACCGAGGAGCTGAGGACTGGAGGGTACGTGGCGAACACAGACTGGATCTTATCAGAAAGAGTGAGGATACCCAAATGCAAGTCTGCCCTATTTACCTTCCATGTCCTGGGTAAGGTTCCTGAGAACAGTTAGTGAACAGGAATGGGGTAGGATGGGCACTGCTCCAGGTGCCATCAGGCCTCTGGAGGGAACGCTAACACGCTACATCTCCTGGGCAGGCAGCTGCAAGGAGGTGGTGAAGAACGGGCTTTATTGCACTTTTTCGTTCTTAGGAAACAGGGATTGCCCTGCAGAGGTTCTCCTGATTTGCAGAAATTGCTGCATATTAATGCTAAGGTACAGGCAGAAATCTTGGGTGACCTCCAACTCTCAAGAATAGTCCAGTGGTTGGTCTTTCCAGGGCCTCAAGGCCACTCTGCACCTGGGATCCTTGAGCTGGGGGGACTGTATCTGGCTTGGTCAATGTGTGGCAGGCACACTGGTCGACTGGGACGAAGGTGGCGTGCTGAGAGAGCTGGGGAAACTTTCCAAACAGGGAAAACGTCTTGGCAAATGTGCAGGTTCCAGAAACAGAGAGGAACCTTAATTCTCTAGTCCAGTGTGCCTGGCTCCCCTTCTCCAACTCTAGAACCAGAGGACTGTGGGAGCAGAGGGAGAGCCTGGTCTGGGTCCAGACCTAGGTCCAGCCCCACAGCATCAAAATAGAGGAACAAAAGGGTCTAAGAAGGGCTGGAAACAAAAGAGCAGTTTACACTTCAGATGTTGGTTTTTTGAGCTCAGGGCAATGGAGGCAGATACCATACGGAGAACCCAGCCAGGCTGTCTGTCCGTCCATCTGTCTCTCCCGAGCAGCTCTCAACACTTCATATATAAATGGGGTGGTACCTCTTGTGGTTGATCTTTTTCCTACAAGTTGGACAAGTGTTAGCATTCTTAAGAGAATCACGGAGGCACTGGCTACAAAAGACATGGCCACATTCTGTAGAAACGATGAGACGTCCGTTCTGCACAATCTAGAAGACAGTAAAAGGAATAGCCTTCAGGTAGCCCTTGTCAAAGAACAGCAGTCACCCCCAGGGATCCTCACCCTAGCCCATCCCCCAGATGACTGATGAGAAGGAGGGAAGGGCTAAGCTGTGGTAGGAGAAGTAGGGAGCTCTGGAGAGTTTAGGGGACCTGCCATGCAGTCTTAAAAGTGTGGTGGGCTCTGCCAGACAAAGCAGCAAGTGGGAGCCACAGCCCCCTGCAATGGCAGCTCAGGGGCCCCAGTAAATTCAAGGAGCTTCTGGTTAGGGCCTAGGCAAGTACACAGAGACTAACACATTGGCACAGAGATGCTCTGGGCATACACAGGCTGAAGCTGAAGGCTGCATGCATGGCCCAAGGGACATTCTCCCCCCACCCAGACACACAATAAGCCATGGCCCAGGCATGACTGCAGGTAGGGGTGTCAAATCCCTCTTGAGAAGATCTTACCTAATTCTTCCACTCAATCAGAAACCAAAGGCAGGGAAGATTCAGTGTAGTTTACTCACCTCAGAGTATCCATCCATGCAGATGGGACAACTGACAGTACCAGACGGCCTAAGACCACAGGGACCACAGGGTTTTGCGTCAGTGTCTAGGCATAGCCAGATACTCAGCTACATCCCCCACAAACACCCCTGCCCTGGCTTAGCACTGACATCCAGGAGACTTTCAGGAAAGCCAGCTGCCCCAAATGGGTGTGGAGAGGTGACCATGAGAAAGAGGGAAAGAGACTGGAGCAACAATGCAGACAGCCTGGATCACTCAGCCTCTAGCCCTGCTCATGTGGAGGCCCCTCGGAGATCCCAGTCTGGGCTTGGGGATGTGCCACCCCTCAAGCATTTCTGCTAAAGGAGGTAGGGGCACCCAGCCTGTTCAACCCCACTTGGTCAGTGCCTAGCACACCTGGTCACTGTGGGAATAGCTGGGCCCCACTGGGGACCCCGTCCCAATCATCCATCTACGGGGCACAGGTGGAGCCTGTAGACTCAGACTTGCTGAGAAGCATAGTATTCCTATACCCTAGCCCTCCACCCACACATGGCAGCAACAGAGCAGATGTGGTAGTACCTCACTCCTGCAGCACCTTCGTCCCTGGTGTTTCTGGGCGTGTGGGTAGTCACATACACATCTGTGTCTCTGGACAGTTCCTCATCGTCACTGCTCACCACACAGCTGTCGGCATGGTCCTGACGCAGCCTCCTAGCATTTCTCCTCGGCCTTCTTCTTTCTAAGGTAGTCACATTTTCAGGTTGGAGGCTCCTATTGCCACCATCCCCACACCTCTCCCCCGATTCCTCTAAGAACACCCCTCCCTGCCTAGAAACTCAAGAGATGGCTCAGCGCCTGTAGCTCAACCAGCTAAGGCGCCAGCCACATACACCTAAGGTGGCAGGTTCGAATCCAGCCCAGACCCGCCAAATGACAATGTCGGCTGCAACCAAAAAATGGCCGGGCGTTGTGGCGGGCGCCTGTGGTCCCAGCTACTTGGGAGGCAGAGGCAGGAGACTCGCTTGAGCCCAGGAGTTGGAGGTTGCTGTGAGCTGTAATGCCACGGCACTCTACCCAGGGGGACAGCTTGAGGCTCTGTCTCCAAAAAAAAAAAGAAACTCAAGAGATGAACTGCTGCCCTACTACCCCCTGAGAGAGGTCCTGCCCACGGTCTTGCTCACAACCACTATCTTGTCTTCCCAGGAGAAACCCCCCATCCTTATTGCAAGCAGGTGCCTGCGCCAGGGTCATCTAGATATATCTGCCTTTCTCCAAAATCCAGTAGGCCCCAGGCAGGGCTTTAGCTCAGGGCTCAGAGATGAGGTACAGCTTCTTCAGCAGTTGAAAAAGGACTGACTGTGCAGGCGTAACCACAGCATCATCTCCCCACGTGGACTTCTCTGACCCCTTCAGGGCGGTCTGCCAGGGCCTGTAGCGCCATGGCCCTCATCCATGCCTGTTCTCTTTCTAAACCCAGTGAAAAAGGAGATGAAATCACTCACCATCAACAATCTTTTAAAAGAAGAAAAACAAAAGAGAAAAATCGATCAGTTTGACTTAATAGGAGCATTTCTTGTTTCTGCAAAATTTTCTGGTGAGCAGCATAGTCCCCAGCCCTTACCAACCCCCAGAGGATCTGTGTACCTCTCCACGGCAATCATTGCACCTTCTCTAGGTCACTTTATCCCTAGCAGCTGCTGTGCTGTGCCATGCTCCACCAGGCATTTGGTGGAGCATCTCAGAGCACAGGTATAGCCGCACACCATGGATTGGCCATGGCCCAGGGAAGTTCCTCAATATGCTGCCATGAGGATGGAGCAAAAAGGTGAACATGCAGCATGACACCTGGGCCATGGCATGCAATGAATGCTGCCCATGACTGTTTTCACATGCTGTCCTCCTGCGGCTATAGCTAACTCAGGCCACTGCCAATGTATAGAGCCTATATTTGGAGGAAGGTCTGCAGTGTTATTACTTTAAAATAATTAAATCAAAGCAGTCCACCATGTGTGGACCAATGAGAATGGCACACAGCAAGGATAGAGAGACCAATTCAGCTTTGTGTTGTTTCTTGAGACCTATATGAAAAGTCATGGTGAACTTGACAAGCCCCTGGCTCAATGGCTCAGAATTTACATTTACACCATTTCTTTTATAACAGTTTCAAACCTGGTCACTTCTTCCATCTTCTGGTCAGAACACTTAGAATACTTAGATCTAAGGGATGGCCAGTGGCACAGCCTTCACCTCCCGGTCAGCGTGTATAAGGAGCTCACACCCAAATCCCTGCAGTCCACCACACTTCAGCCGCCCTTATAGTGGAAACAGGGGGCTGCCCCTCTAGCATAGTGCCCTGCCCTGCAGTGACCCTTGCAGTTCTCCTAAAACAGGGATTCTGAATATGAACTAAGTTCCCTCAATTAGATGTGCTCATGCTACAGGCAGGGCACAGGTGGAGGCCAGTTTCAGCTGCCTAGAGCATCACTATTGGCTGGCACAGATAAGGTTATCAAGAAGCAGTTCCAGGCAGAGGCCTCAAGGTCTTAAGCCCAGGTTCCCTCCTTCCCTAGAAAAGGGCTACAGTAGTGTCTACTTGAATGCAAAGATATTAGTGCAAGGAGTGGAACCGACCTCCAGACCTTCTGCTTAGAGCAAATACAACAGCTCCCAGTCAGGTCAATGCTGAGTGGCCAGAAGTATTCCTGGGGACTCAGCCTGGAGCGCACTCTTCCAGGCTTTTCAACATCATGTAAGTAACTCCTTCCACATAAATTTAGAATAATTGGAATGGGTTGTTTCCCAAACTGAACCCTGACAGGTATAAATCGCCACCCTGAGAACAGCACAGTTCTTAGTATAAAGGTCTTTATTTTGCAGATGGGACTATAAAATATACACATGGAGTGAAAGAAAGTGTTCCCCCTTCCTCCCAGAGGGGAGTACAGAAGGGGACAGTGGAAATATGGGACAATCAGTTAACCTCATCACTAGAACCAAACTTAGCAGAGTTGGCACAAGGTACCATCCACATGAAATCTAGAAAAAGGGACCCAGACTAGGAGGCACTGATAGCAGTGCTGTCCCTGAGGAAAGCCCTGAATTTAGCCAGAAATAGAACTCTTCCTGTCTCTAAAAACACTAGTAAGCCTGGGGAGGAGAAGGAAGGGGAGAGGAGGAAAAGAAAGGAAACAGAGAAAACAGAGGGGAGGAGAAGAGGAAAAGAAAGGAAACAAAGAAAAAAAGAAAGAATCCAACCAAACATCTTATCCAGGCATGGTAGGCTATGCTGCTCAAGGATCACTTGAGCCCAAAGTTCAAGGCTGCAGTGAACTATGCTCATACCACTGCACCCCAGCTGGTAGAGCAAGACCTTGTCAGTGGTGATGATGATGTGGAACAGTAAGAACCTCTAATACTAGCATGAGTGCAAACTGGTAAAACCTCTTTAGAAAACAGGTTGGTGTTTATCTACTTAAAATCAAAGACACCTTGGGCTTTGCGCCTAGAGAGCTGGCCACATACACTGGGGCTGGCGGGTTCGAACCTGGTCCAGGCCTGCCAAACTACAACAATAAAAACAACAAATAGCTGGGTGTTGTGGCGGGTGCCTGTAGTCCCAGCTACTTGGGAGGCTGAGGCAAGAGAATTGCCTAAGCCCAAGAGTTTGAGTTTAAAAAAAAGATACTTGTACCTTTGAACTCAGGAGTGATAGTGTTTCTAAGGTTATACAATGCCAAAAACAAAATTTTAAGGGAAACTTAACAAAGAAGGTATGTACAACACTTCATTTCTCCTAATTCTTCAGGGGCTTTGGATACTTTGGGGGCAAAACTGCTAGTCTTAAGATGTTTCCCAATGTCCTGAAGACTGCCCCTGGGTCCGAGAGTTCAGGAAATCCTGTCTTATCTTAGAGATATAGTGCTACTCCTAGGACTCAGACAGCACACTTAAACTGTAAATTGTTCTAACAGATCCTGGTGGAATTGGTAATATCACCACAAATTTGAAATGGCTACCTTCATCCATTTCATACTCTCCTAAAGTCACCCTGAACATAATTCATTTGACAGCTGCCCCTTTCCTGAGTTAATACTCTTAGACCTCCAAAGCAGACTGCTCAATTTGGACTTATTAAAATCATCACTTAAACTGTGATTAGATTAACACATGTGTTAGATTAGCATAACCCAGCTACTCAGGAGGCTGAGGCAAGAGAATCACCTAAGCCCAAGAGCTGGAGGTTGCTGTGAGCTGTGACACCACAGCACTCTACCTGAGGGTGATAGAGTCAGACTATGCCTCTTAAAAAAAAATAGAATAAGGAAAGCTATCAAAGTCCAAAACATTTCATTTGGCTTGGTGCCCATAGCCCAGTGGTTATAGCACCAGCCACATACTACAAAGATGGCTGGTTCAAACCCAGCCCAGGCCAGCTAATGAATAATGACAACTGCAACAAAAAAAGAGCTGGGCGTTGTGTGGTAAGAGCCTGTAGTCCCAGCTCCTTGGGAGGCTGAGGCAAGAGAATCGCTTGAGCCCAAGAGTTTGAGGTTACTGTGAGCTGTAATGCCACAGTACTCTACCGAAGGCGACATACTAAGACTCTGTCACAAAAAAAAAAAAACAAAAATCAAAAAAATATTTTCTTTATAGCTGGGGACACAGCAGCTAGTGTGAGAGAAATGCTCTAGCCACATCAACCAGTAGATCTGAGACTAGGACCTAGGACTCCTGCTTCCCGAGCTAAGACTCTACTTTTTAACCATCAACCTGCCTCTGATCATCCACTCACTCCCCAGACAGCTCTCCCCCGCCAGTCCTCCTTTCCCTCGGAACACAGGACTTACAAAAATTAACTAGCAGCCCCAGGTTAAAGGAGAGTGGAAGGCCCAAGTAGGAGCCTACACCTAAGGAACGAGAAAGAGGGAAGGGAAGCTCCCAGAGGAAGTCCATGTGGCAACTGCAAGCTAGTCCTCAAAACAAACAAAAAAAAAGGTGTGAAAGGGGAAATGATGCTGGTTTTTCATCTAAGGGAAGCCAATTTGTCTTCTTGTGGGCAGAATCCCATCTCCGTGACCCTGACAGGGAGAACAAGCCAGGTATAC